CCAATAACTGAAACACATCTAGACTTTATCTGACTTTTCTCTTTTGCACATTCAAATATATAGACAAACCTCGCAAATTATATTTATTTTCTCTTAACTTAAATCATTTCTGAATACCAGAAGGAAGACTTGACAGAAGAAGAAAAATTCAATGCTTTATACATTATTTCCAGTATTTTTGTATAAACAATATCTTTAAATTTTAATATTTTACTTTGAATAAAGAGTTTATCAGTTGGTTCACGGTATCCTTTAGACAGTGAAGAGACTTGAACACAATCAGAACCGTTTTAAAGTCTGTTTTCTGAGTGACAGGAAGCCAAAGCAGAGACCTGAGAAGGAACATGTTTGCTTACATGCATCATGGCCTTTTGTTCTAATAATGAACGTGCTGTCTCCAGTCTGTGGGGCTTCTCCCAGTCTTTTCTGTTCTGTTCAGGACAGCTATCAGTCACACAAACCACTGTTTTCTCTTTGTGCTGTCAAACCTCTCATCTCTATCTCCTCACTGTTTAGTCTTCGCCAACTACAAGGCACTTTTGACAGGACTTTGATCTCCGGTTTTTCCACTTATTTCTAAGTAGCAGCAGGAGGAGGAGGACGTCCAACGGTTGCTTTTTCCAGCCCAAAGATTCTGTCCCTCCCTCTAGAGCCATCTTATGTTTTCAGAGGTGGAGTTTGGGACCAAGACGTGAGCGAGATTGTGTCAATGAGGCAGTGGCTGTGGAAAACAGATGAGAAGACTCAGGTAGAGGAGAGGAAGAGGAAAGGGTGCCAGCTGTTCAGGTAAGAACACGTCTGTGCTTCATTCTTGTGTTTTTCTTTCTTTCTTTCTTTCTTTCTTTCTTTCTTTCTTTCTTTCTTTCTTTCTTTCTTTCTTTCTTTCTTTCTTTCTTGTGAGTTGTAGAAAAACTGCATGCACTGCTTTCCATTCGCTATAAAATAGAAAAATTAAAATTGGAGTCCTCTCTTTAAAGACATCAAACCTTTACTTGCGTTCTCCATAAGTCATTGGAATGATGCATTTAAATGTTTTCTTAAAGCTATCGCCATTATCACATTTAAAAAGAAAAGACTTTAAAACTGGAAAAACTTTCTTTTAATGGATCTCCAACATTTCTACATGTACTTGTGAGACAACGTCTCTTGTCTATTGTTTTTTTCTTTTTTTTCTTTTGTTGTTTCTTGTGTTTAATGTGGACAATTTACCAAAATAAAGTGAAAGTGAAGTGAAAAGTGAAGTGAACTCTAAGTCTTCACCCGTTTATCCGCTCATGGTTGTTGCAGTTTGGGAATATCTGGAAGGCCTTTTCATCTCTCTGTTGTTTTTTTCTGCTCTACACAACTGGACGGTAGCCAAACGTTGGCCAGAGCTTTCAGCGGTGTCTTTTTTCAGCAGAGTCTCTTTTCAGCAGGGTTCTCTCTCTCCTGACGGCTCTTCTTTCTTTGAAAACTGCTGAGGACCCTGTTATTATTGAGATTAGAAGATGTTGCATTCCCGGCAGAGCTGTTTATTACATGACACATCCCAAACTCGCACAGCTGCACGGTCTGGGTTCATGATGCCACTGCGTGTTGTGTGTGTGTGTGTGTGTGTGTGTGGGGGGGGTAACACTGTGTGTTGTGTATGAGCAGACAGAGCAGAAGTTCTGTTTTAGCTACAGTACAACAGCCAATTAGCTGTTTACGTTTGTTTTACGTCTTGATCAAATAACTGCCCGTTTTTGTTCTGTAAATGGGTAAAAATGATTCTTCACAGAGGCCCTGAGAACAGGACGGATCCATTTCAGCTGCTGCCCTCAGCCCCTGTCCCCACACTCACTGTCCAGTTATCAAACCACATTTCTGTCTCAACAATCACAACGACTCAGCGTTATGCTGCACTGTCTGTTAGAAATCACTTTAAGGATTGTTCTCTTAGAGAAGCTACGTAGCATTCAGCTTTCTGCACCTCTGCTCTATGAGTGTGTGTGTAACCTCCAATCCATTAGTAGAATCTTCCTGCAAGTGATGAGATGCTTTTTGATCATTTATTTGTGTTTGTACCGATATAAAAGATGGGAAAAGACCCATATATATACATGTTCTTTAGGACCTGTCCCGTTAGTAATGCCCTGAAATAATATATCCTCATGACTTTGCTTGCTTGTTGTTAAGATAAGTGAGAAGATCATTCGGGATAATGTGAGTGTTGATTCGTAGAGTAAAACACACATTATAGGTATTGCTGAAACATCCATATTTAATTATGGAGATCCAGTAGTTGATGGTAGCTAACTGCTTATAAATCTTTCAATAGAAATAAGCACTTGGCAAACAGATATTTTGTTCGCTGACTTAATAACATTTCTCTGTTTGTGCTTAAATTATATATGACAGCTATTATTTTTTAACTCTTTGTTGTATTTCAATCAATAGATATTTAGCTGAAATGCACTAATTTCAGGCCAGTTTCAGGTGGCTGAAATTCTTTGTTTGGATGGATTTACAGACTAAAGCTAATTTACTAAGATCATCTTTTTAGAGTGAGAAACACTTCTATTGAAAGTATTCTGGGTTGATAATAAAATGGAGCTATGACCTGACATAATGAAGACTGTGGGGAGTAAAGAGGGTGTGGCTCAGCTGGAGAGACTGTCACCAAATAGCATGCGGCGCTGGTGTTTTTGTTTGAGTTTGGATTAGGGAGTGCGCTGTGAGATTATCTGGGGAATGTAAATGCAGTCTGTCATTAGATCGCTGGCTTTGACGTTTAGCAGATGCCGGGTCTCCTCCTGACTGACACGGCGGTGGTAAAAGCACCTATTTGTGGGGGTCAGGTTGGCTGTGGACGCTTGTCTTTACTAGAAAGCTTAACAGGATGCATTTATCAGATGTACCATGAAGCAACTGGAACATGAGTCTGAACAAAAACAGGAAAAAGGATCAACTGGAACCTGGACTGAACCCCTTGGATAGCTCCTGGCAGCTTTACGGGGACCTTTCCCAGCCTTCCCACCTCCCACGAGCTGCCCCCCCCCCCCCCCCCCCGGAATCGCACCAGTCAGGAAACAATTCAGATCTTCACTGAGACCACTGAGTTCTTGTTTTCTCTGGTCTGAGCTATGTGGAGTCTATAGTGACCGTGTCATCTACTGGTTGTTATCTGGTCTCTGGCATGCAGTTTGCCGTTCTTTTGCTGAGAATTTCACACAGAACTGATGCTGAGTGATAACCTCTGGCTCTTTAGCGTCTAAAGACGGTGGCTGGGGTTGGGGTCAGGACTCTGTTTGGGCTTCTTCACCTATTGTGATAAAGAAGTCCGTACATAGGTGACTTTTGGGCTTGTGATATAAAAGCACAGGACGGTGAAGGAGCATTTTAGTTTCCAGCCCTGGAGCACATCTCTATCCTTTGCAGTAGCTTGACATCTCTGTGGGTTTTGGATAATTTATAATTGTTCGATATACACTATACATATTGTTCGATATACAGCAATCATGCTGTTTTTAGCTTGTGATAGTGTACAGGTTTATGGAAATATGTCACTTTCAACTGTAAGTAAAACACGAAAATGACCAAAATGTTAAATAGAAGACTTTTGTTGACTGAAGTGAGCTGCAGAATGCAGGTGTGGACCCCTCGGAAACCCTGTTTTGACACA